CCCCAAAACCCCAAAACCCCAAAACCCCTTAATGCTAAATCAATGAAAGATTAAAGCACGAGAATTATAAGAAATTACAAATTGAAGAAAAACATGAATTTATTGATGCAATTTGAGAAATATACAACTCTTTATATTTTTATCATGCATACAGCAGCCACTTCTAATTATCTCTCATTATCTTTTGCCGAGTTAGGCTCTGAGCTGCTTGGCGAAGTCCTCATCAACCTCTTCATCATCCCAATCCTCTTGCCTATACATTTATTAGATATATATAACTAATCCTACCATAGTTTTCTATCAGCTTCTTCATTGTAATGAGCATCAATCATCATTTCGTCTCCGCCTTGACCGCCATCATTATCAATTTCGAACTCCTCGAAATCATCATCATCCTCTAAGAATTCATAGACGTCCTTCTTCTTGTTCTCGTCCTCTATGATGGCAGAAGTCATCTTTCTCTTGGCATCACTCTTTGAGTCCTTGTCAGAGGTTGGAGGAGCCAAGTTTTATCTTGCTTACTGAGACATTTTTTTTATTGATAGATTATTTAAATATTTGGTTAAATGATTATTTTAATTTAATTTAACTGTGAAAATTAATTGCTGCATTCATACCACACATTATAAGTATAGAGTAAGTTTTCGCTCTATTTCTGTATCAATACAATTCTAACTCAATTCATAAGAGTCCTCAAACCTTCCCACTTTTGTTCATATTTTAATGGCTTAGTAGAGATCTCTAAGACTATGAGTTACTGTTATTAACTAATTTGAGATGCCTGATTTCTAAATCCTGAGTTTCCTTTTCATCTCTCAGGAATTTCAGTTCGTTTTCCAACTGTTTTATCTTGGTTTCATAGACCTACTAGTAATTGCTACTGTCTTAGTCAAGATTTCTCTAGGATTAAGAGTGATCACTGAAACTACAAATTTAGCTACCTCTTAGCAGAGATCTTTGTGAGATGCTGCCACCCTTGAAGATTACATTATCCTGGTCACCTGAAACTCTTACCTACTATATCAGACTTCTTGTTCCTAATCCTCCTTAGCCACTAAGATTTTAGGATGACATTCCTAGTCCTCCTCCCATTCCATGATTAAGACCCATTCCGAGTGTTAATCCATGCATTTAAATCTATGTCTATTCCAAATTTAGCTATAATTCTTAAACCTACAACATATGCTCATGTAACTATTACTAAAGATCTGGTATCTTAAGTAATTCTTAAATGACAATCAGCCAGTTTTATTTCCTACTATCTTTATTGCTCATAAGTAAAATACCCTAGTTTAATGGGAACTTCTGTAATAAGTCTGCATTATTAGTCTACAAAGTCCCCACTAGCTATGAAAGTATATTACAATCTTGGCAAACAGCTGAGTTAATTGAACCTTTAATTTGCTAGCACTGTTCATTATAATCATTGACAATCTACTTCAAATGCTCCTCATACTTCATTCTTTACATTTGCAACTACATCTCAGTTTTAATGTATAGTTCTCTGTATTCATCAGCTTTCTTTACCCATTAATCAAGATCACTAGCATTTACTACATGATTGGCACTCTGCTGCGACAAATACTCTTCAATTAACTTTCCATCCCGTTAGGCATCTTTTAATTTATCAAACTAGATCAAAGAGTTATACCCATCCTGCTCAGTACTATTACTGAAAAATGGCTGCTAATCGATCGGGTGATTATGATGATCTAGAAGCTACTAATCCAGATAATTATTGCTCCTTCGATTCATCTGCTATTCAATCGCATAGCTCATCTAATTTTAATTTTGATTCTTCTTAGGGCTGTTTCCCTGTAAAGAATTCAATTTATTTTCCATCTCTCCAAATAGGACCTTGAGCCCATCCATTTTAGTAGCGAGATTAGTTGAGATTTCCTTTAGTATCTCTTCTTCAATGCTATTATCCTAATTGTAATTAAGTGAAGAGGAGCATGAGAATTTATCTTTAGTTGCCTGTTTCCCAAGCAAGGAATCTAGAGTCAAATCAGAGAGATTATTAGTACTCTTCTAAACTCTTTAGGTAGAGAGCAAAGCCAAATGAATTTCCTTTTTAATATATTTTCTAAGGGCTTTTGAGAATTTTTACTCAAGCTAAGCTCCTTAGTTATTCTGTTATACTTATTATGAGATGCTAGATCCTCTCATCTTCAACTATGATATTAGCAATTGTTCAAATTCTCGAGCTTATAGATTAAAATCTTCATCATTGTCAAAATCATTAAGGATACTCTAATGAACTACATAATCCTATTGTTGATGTCTTTATTAGTTGAATTCACTTATAGGTTAAGAACTCATCATTTGATTCTCAATATTACTCTGCTTATTCTAGCCGCTGCTACTGCTGTTTTATCCTCTGTAAGCTCTTAATATCTGTTAACTACTTTAGGAACTAGCATCACTTGATTCAAGCTCCCTTTTTATAGATGACTGACCAGATGTCATCATGACATCTTATCTAATAGAAGTGTGCATTTAATTTTATAACTGGGAATGTTCTTGCTCTCTGAACATCTAAGCTCTATAATCGAATGGAGCTGTTTACGCTTTATTTGAGGATTATTAAATCAGATTTCTGTAAGATAGGTTGTTAAGAATGCTGTTACTATTATTGGTAAAATTATTTTAACCTCTTAGATTTTATGCTGATGCCTGAGCAATATCAAACTTTTTAGCAGATACATTTGGGGATTTATTTAATGTACTTAGCTGATGCTTTGGCGTCTCTGTATTTGATCTCACAGGAGATGGTTAAGTCTTGAGTACTTTAACATTTTCATGCATAACGTTGGGTTCTCTACGTCTTACTGGTTCTCCATCTTGTTGCAAAGACTAATCCAGAGTCATATTACATAGCTCTTTGCTGTTATTAAGAATGTTTTGATTTTGATTGTACACGTTTGCATCTCCGAACACACTTGATGGTCTCTGCTGATAATTTTTCAGATGTGATTGATAGTTTCTGATATTAGATGAGTCATTAGGCAGTTAAAATGTAGACTGATTCACATTTTGGTTAAAGGTCTGGTAATCGTAAAGTGAGTATCTGTCATTGCTCTCAATAGATTGATCTTAGTTTTGTTGAAAATGGTTTTGATGACTTTGGTTCTAATTATTATTCTAGGGAATGAGTCGCATGGAATTTAATTGATTGCTGTTATTGATACCGTTCATCTTTGATAATAAAAAAATCTGATAAAATTTATATTTTATCTTAAGTTTACAGCACCTTGAGGGGTTTTGGGGTTTTGGGGTTTTGGGGTTTTGGGG